CATAGCGGCGGTACGTAGTGGTCCTATACCGCGGCTGTCTCACGATGATGTCCCTCGTGCAGGTGTAGCGATGATCCGAATAACCTGCCCGAGGTGAACAAGGTGAAGGGCGTCGCCATCGCCGTGCTGGTCTTTGGCGTCATTTCGTGCCTCGGCTTCCTCGTGCCTGGTGAGTGGTGGGGTGGGCTCGGCGGCGTGCTCGCAGTCATCGGTGCCAGTGTTCTGCTATGCTGCACCGGTTCGGGCGCCAGCGCTTCGGCCGGGAGCCACATTGGCGCTGGTGTCTTGATCGCCAGCGCTGCCATCGTGCACGCCGTTGCTGTGATCGTGTACATCGTGTTCTGGGCGAACGTGGTGAACGCGGTGAACGATAACTGCGATGACGGCGTGTACTCCAACCCAGACGACCCGAACAATCAAGATGAGGTCGATTGCGACGCCCTCAGCGGCGTCGCGAGCGCCTTCATCGGCGTGCTAATCTGGCCAATCATCGTCATCGACATCGCCACCTTCTGTGTCGAGCTCATCTGCGCGATCTTCTCCTTCCAGGCGGCTCAGGCGGTCAGGGCCCAAGCCCTCCCCACCACTGCGGGCGTGCCCGTCGCGAAGCCCGTCTAAGGTCGGATGCCGTCGAGCCCTCCCCACCACAAGCAGGCGCGCACATTGCTGTGAACTCTAGGGTGTGGTCTGTGGGGAGGTCTCGAGATGTGTGTATATCGTGTCCATACCCTGAGCGGGGCGCCAGTTGCTCTCGCTCGGTCGGCTCCCGCCTCGTTGGTCTCTGCGGTGCCGTGGTACCTACGTGTCCTGCTGTTCAAGCTTCAACCTTGTATGTACGAAAGCCGTACTTTTCTCTCTCTCCATCCACCTTGCTTGTTTGTACTCTCTCTCTCTCACCTTGTATAATGTCAGGGATGGTGCGCCCTCCAAGAAAGAAAGGATTCGGTACTTCAGCTTGGTATAGTCTCATCGTATGCTTCTCGAGGGGGTATCAAGGTATGCTCTAGCTAGGCCTCTGTGGGGACCCATCTCGGCTGGGTATCAAGGTATCATCGGCGGCCGCGCAGCGAAGCGACAATTCACAGCCTTGTTATTGAGAAGAAAATACCTCCTATGGCGCTGTGTCTCTCTCTCTCTCTCTCTCTCTCTCTCTCTGTGCGCTGGCCCTGTGAGAGGTTGAGGTGTTCACACCTCTCACCGAGGACCGAGCCCTCCCGCATGGTCCGCCCCGGTATCATTCAAACTCTTTGCGCCGTACCCGTGCGCCACAGCCCTCCCGCAGGACTGATACCCCGCCCGATGCATGTGGTGACCCGCGCGCGTGCGCTCACGACGCTGGTAGCGGCAGCTTGCTCGTCGCAGATCCTGCAGCCGGCGGCGACTGCCGCTGAGAGCGACCTCGTCACCGCGCTGCTCGAAAGGACGGCCCAAAACCGTGTGGCCAACGAAGCCGCGGTGCGGCGGCAGACGGAGAGGAATGCCTTCTCAGCCTATAGCGGCGAACCAAACGCCATGCGGCAGGTGTTGAGCACTGATGGAGCGTGGCTCTATCTTACCCAGCGGGAGGTGGCCCAGATGACGCGGCGCGGAGAATTGGCATGCGCCGCCGACGGGACGTGCCGGGTGGTCGATCGTGGCGCGGCTCCGCTGGCGCTTGAGCTGCCTGAGCTCAAAGTGCTGACCTGCAATGAATCGGGGAGAAATTGCAAATTCAAGTAAGGGACGGAATAGGAGCCGGAGCATGGACACCAACCCCATTATGCGCTCCGTGCTGCGACAAAATGAGGACTGGCTGGACCGATGCCGCCTGTCTGCCACCCACTTGGGAAGCCAGGAAGACGCACACACCTACCTCCATCCGCACGCACACCGCTCAGAACACCGCAGACTTGGAAAATGACAAGTGCGCGCGCCGCAGGCGAAGAGAAAACTTGAGGTGGGCCTCCCGTTCACACTCGTGTCTGGCCTTTTCTCGGGGCCGCGCCTGCGGCGCGCCGTGGTCTCTGAGCTTTTCGCGGAAATCGCTCGGCGCGGTTTCTTAATGCCTAATTATGATTGATTATGGTGTACTTTTTTCCCCAGCCTCGAGCCTGCTTTTGGAACACCGCGAACAGCTGTGACGCCTGACGGTGACGCGCACCAGAGCGGCCGCACAATTCCGGACATTGCTCGGTACCCCCCATGCACTTCCACCTTGTGATTTTTGGGTCAAAATCGTCCCGATTTCATAATGTTCGTTCGTACGTGCATCCGCGGCGCCCAGCGCGGTGCTAGCGGCTCCCATACCTCTAAGAGGCCACCCACCTCCGTATAGACCCTTATATCCGCGGTTTACGCCCAATAGAGGCAGCTGCAAGAGGGCCCGGACGGGCACTGCGGCACACACTGCTCGCTGCTCGGCCATGCGGTAGCGTCTGGTGATGCCGCCCCTGCGCGGGCGGGGGCGTCTCGCTCGGCAGCAACTGCGCCGCGCAGCGCAGGTTCGAGGGTCGCGGTGGATGGGTACACTGGAAGACGTAGCGGTCGAGAAAGCGCTCAGCGACCGCTACGTCTCGAGGATGGAGCCGTCGCGCGGACCCGACCGGCCGACCGGCAGTAGCAGCAGGCGCCGGAGGGCGCGGGAGGCAGCGGCGACACCTCGGGCCAGAAGCGCGAGCCCTAGGCTGGTGAGGGGGCCCGCTCATGCGTAAACGGCTCTGGGACTTAGCTAAATCGCGCATCGAAATCGGGACGATTTTGCCAGGGCACCGTCACAAGGTGTAAGCCCGTCCCTGCTGCTAGAGGGGGGGGGGGGTTCTGACCCCCCCACCAAAAAAACTCTGCTGGGGGGGGGGGGGGCCCGACCCCCAGCA